TTTTTTTTGGTAGCTATTGTAAATTGGATAGCCTTCTTGATTTGGTCCTCAAGTAGATTGTTATGGAGATTATTATGGGTGTATGGAAATGCTGCTGATTTCTGTACATTAATTTTGCATCCTGAAACTTTACTGCATTTATCAAATCTAAGTGTTTTTTGGTGGATTCTTTAGGATTTTCTAGATAGAAGAATATATCATCAGTGAGCAGAGATAATTTAACTTCCTCTTTTCCAATTAAGATATGTGTTATTTTTTCCTCTTGCCTGATTATTTTGTCAAGGACTTCCAGTACTGTGTTGAATAAAAGTGGCAAAAAGTGGACATCCTTTTCTTGTTCCAATTCTTAGAATGCTTTCAACTTTGCTTCATTAAGTATAATGTTGACTGTGGATTTGTCATATAGGCCCTTTATTATGTTGAGGCCTATTCCTTCTCTGCCTAGCTCTTTGAAGATTTTTATCATGATGATATACTGAATTTTACCAAATGCCTTCTCTGCATCTATTGAGCTGATCATATGGTTTTTGTCCTTAATTCTGTTTATGTGATGTATCATGTTTGTTGATTTACATATGTTGAACCATCCTTGCATTCCTGCAATAAATCTCACCTGATTATAGTGTATTATCTTTTTGATGTGCTGTTGGATTCTATTTGCTAGTATTTTGTTGAGCGTAACCATGTTATCATTGTGAGATCTTCTTCTTTAGGAATGACATAATAAATAGTAACTTTTATTATCAAAGAGACATATATTAAATATTTAAATATTTTATATTTAAAATATTCATATTATGTCTAATAATTTACACCTCTCAGAAATATTGAAACCTTCTTTTATGAGCTAAAATAGTAATTTGATATCATTATTACAGATAATATTTACCTGAGGGTTTATTATATGCCAGGTAGTTTAAGCTCATTTCACATATTAATACTCATTTAATTTCTATAAAATGTTATAAGGTATGAATTTTTATCCTAATTTTGTGAGAACATATTACATTTCACATATTTAGTATATCTGGCATATGTGTTTTACACAATATATTTACATAAGATATAGAAATGAAGTATGTTTGTAATTATATGAATTAAAGTCAAAATGTTAGAGGTTTTTGCTTTCCATTTACTCAAAAATGTAGATAAAAGATTTGATATTTTGGCATGTAGGCTTTATGATATTTTCCACTAATTTCTTCTTCTCTTAGTATCAGGTCCCCAATAATCCCATTGTTCCTGGTGTTCAAATTTGATGTCAGTCTAAACTACTTAATAATATGTACATAACAAATTATATAAATGATGTTCTAGTCTTCAAGTGATGTGCACTTGTTTGTATCTCATAACTTTTTATATTTTAATGCACATATACTTTTAAAAAATGCATAGATGTGGAATTTTATGTTTGAAATTCCCTCATCTTGTTACTGTCAATTATAGATACTATAGATTATCTCTAAAACAAAAGTTCTTCTTGTTCAGAAACTGTCTTTTGTTCTTCATATACTAGCTGAGTCCCACTGAAATACAGCTCTCACTGCGTAGTATAGTCAAAATAACCCCCTCGGGACAAGGATGACAACAGGATAAATTCTCAAATCCTGGACTTGCTGTATATAATATCATGCTGTTCTATCATTGTTTCCTAATGTAAAATAATGTGATCTTTTAATAAAGGAACAGAATATGTCGTAGAGGGTTAGACTTTAGGAGACTGATACAAGGGTCAGTAGATGCTTACTCCCTCTTTCTTCTACTCCCTCAGTTAATTCAGATTGTCATTTCCATTTCTTGTACCAACTTGGCACCTTTCTTTCGTATTAAAGAGTTGAATTTTTCATTGGTATGTTTTGCTATATAGTTTGAATCACTTTTTAATACTGGAAGTTAACATTCTTTATTCTTCAGAAGATCTGTGGCTTCTTTGAATAATTGCCTTTTCAGTGATACTCCTCATACCTTCAAATTTTGAAGGAGACTTTTGTTTAGAAGAGCATAGTATATTTTATACATATTAGTAACATGAAACATGCCTTCTGTATTGATCATTGTACCTTGCTGCTCTGAAAAAGTATCATATGCACTATTATACAAATTTTATTTTGTCTCTCAAATGAAAATATTACTTTAAGAGAGTTGGAATGTTTAAGATTTGAAATCCTAAGAAAAATTGGATTATTATATTCTTTTTAGTGTTATAAAGAAGTAATATGTGGTTTATATTAATATTTCACTGAATATTAGAATTTAGTTATTAAAAGTAGATCAAGGAAGAGTTATCCACTACATAAAATTTCTGACATTACTTCTCAAAAAATTTATTTTTAAAGGGAGATTTGATGGAATATCATTTGTATTATTTATTCCTTTTAGAATGTCATAAAGATGAAATTCGTAAAATGTGTTTCTCCAAGTTTAGAAAATGGGATAACTTTTAAAATGTGGAACTTTTAATCCTAAAATATTAAAGGCCAATTCTCTTGTGACTTACAGTGAAATAATAATCCAGGAGCCCATTACTGATGGAAGGGAACTTTCTTATCATTCAATAAGCATTTATGCATGTTTCAGCCTTTTATACATTTTAGGTCCTTAGACAATAAAAGTATATATATAAGAACCATGTATTTCAGAATGTCTCATTTATATTTTAATGGAGAATTTGAAAATAGAATAATAGTAATAATACTACAATGAAATTCAATAGTTTACCATTTTTAGAGTGCTTTCTTATATTAAATGCAATATAGTTGAAGGGTTAAGGAATGGGTTTGCATGAGAAATACTTGGATTTGTATCCTGACTATTATCCAACTAATTGTAAACTTGGACTAGTTATTTAATCCCTCCAAGCTCTTGTGTTTTGCTCTGAAAAGCTAGGTTAAAAAAGTATCTACTCCATTTGGTTACTGTAAAGATAAATGAAATTAAGCATGTAATATGCTTACATGGTCCCTACACTTCAGTAAATACCTAATAAACATTAGCTATTTTAATTTTCTGAGCCTTACAACAGTTTTGGAAGTAGACAAGAAAACGACTCTTTTTTCTCATTTTATAGAGGGAGGAGATGGAGGCTCAGAGGGATTATGTGGCATTTCCCAACAACATAGAGTTGAATCAAAGTAAGAATCAGAAAAAAGAAAAAAACCCCAGGACTTGTGATTTCTGGTTCACTATCTCAATAGAGAAGATACATGAATTTAAAAGAATTGAGAGAGACTTGACATAGGAAAAAACAGACGTAATTCAAGTTTCTGATTTTCACATACTTTTGAGATGCAGGGGTATGTTTTGTATTAGTATTAGCTGTAAACTTACCTTGAAATGATTCACAGGAAGATAGGTTAGGATATGTCAGATATTCCCAGGTAAGAAGTCATATAATGCTTATGTAGTGTTGGTTAATAAATTCCCATTTGTGTACTTCACCCTTTTATGCCTAGCCTATAGTTATGCTTCTGCTTTTTTTCAACTTGAACAGAGTATCATTAATAATTTATTCATTTGTTTAGGTGTTAAGATTATGTACTTTCCCAAACATCATCACCCTTTCCTAGAAAGTATTTTGTAACAATATATGGTTTCATCTTATGGTTTTTATCTTTCTAATTTTTCTTTAATTAATTAATTAATTAATTCATTCATTCTTCAAAACAGTTGTTAATTCAAGCAGTCATTCAAACAAGCACTCACTATCCCTGAAGCTCCAGATAGGTATAGGCACAGTATCTGGCCTTAAGTAGCTCCTCAGTCTAGTAAAGAAGATAAACATGTAAACTAATACATTTCTATTAAAGCAATAAATGCAACAGTGGAAGCAGGCATGAAGGATCCACAGAAAAACAGGATAGAAGTTAACACTGCCTTTTTTGGGCTCACAAGAGGATTCTTGAAAAAGATCTGAGCTGGATTTTTGAGAGCAAATAAGAATTTATTAGGCCAAAAGATCTGAATTTTCTTACTTACCTGCAAGTAACTAACTTACCTCTATTTTGCATACATTCTCTACATTGTTTCTTACACTTTCTTTGTTCACTAAATTATTTTTCACATGTATTCACAACTATTCAAATATATAATTTCTCAAAGCTTTCCTAATCCATAACCTTAAGATAGAATGTAATTTGCAAATACTCACACTGTCTACCATTATACTAAGTTGTGGCTATTGTAGGAACATTTTTCTTATAAACAATATAATATTTTTGAAAATGTCTTTGAAATATGGGATTTATTTTGCTATATTTGAGTTATTTTGAAAGCCTTTTAAAAAAAGGCATAATAGTATCCTGTACTTAAAATTCATTACAAATTGCTTTAGAAGAAAAAGTCTATAAAATATTATTAAAGTGTGATCCAACAATTCCCTAAATATGGTACTGTTTAGAGGAGATAATAAGTTACCAGAACTTGCTTATGTTAATTGTTTTATTATATATAGTCCAGTGTGACCGCATTTCTGTGTTACATGAATCAACATAATTATACTTTTCTTACAAAATAAGAATCACATTTACTCTTAAAAATCACAAGATTATTTTAACTCCTTTTGTTTCAAAACATTTGTTTTTTAGGTGGATTAAAAATTTTACTAACTCAGCTTATTTTGAAATATCTTGTTCGTATACCCATTAAGATTGCACCTCTCTTAAGATTGAAATTTAGGTCAAATTACAACTTGAATTTAACTTTACTACAGAAAATAACCATGCCATCTTTTGAAACCACATGCTAAATTTTAAGCACAATAGATCAAAGTACATCTTATTTAAATAAATACTCTGGAATGAAGTCTCAATTATTTTCTCACAAACTTTCTTAAAATAGTCACTGTTCTCAATATAAAATGTGAAGTTTAGCTTTATTATTTTAAAGAAAGATGAAAAGTTGTTTATTTTAAAATTTTAATGGTTTTGCTTTCAAATTATGGAAATTCTCCTTTGGGGACATATTTATTTGAATTACATGTGACATTATTTTTATTTCTTAAGGCTATGATTAAAAGTTTCATGGATGTCTACCAGCTTGCAAGCACTAGAATCACAACATTAGAGAAGGAAATGACATCTCATCGAAGTCACATCGCGGCCTTAAAATCAGAACTTCACACAGCTTGTTTACGTGAAAATGCAAGTTTACAATCAGTAAGTCCTTGTTATAATTTTTATAACTCCTTGAATCTTGGGTTACGTTTACATTTATGTTTTTAATGTTCATAAGATCATTTGCCAATATATGTAATTTAGGGTAAATGATCAAGTGACATAAAATTATTTGTGTGGAGAAAAATTTGACGGAAGAAAAGCAATTAATTTTTTCATGGTATTATGTATAAAGATATGCATATTGTTATCAATGCTAAAACACTACATCAAGATTCCTTTGTGTTTGGCAGTGCAGCTGACAGTTGGATTTGGCAGTATGCATAGTTAAAGCTTGCAACTGTCTGAAGATTCAGTGTGTCCCATTAAGACAGAATAGTATTAATTATGCGTATAACCAAAATGGTAATTAGAACATGTGATTATTCTCTGTAGAAAACTAGACTTATCCATAATACATGCCTAGCTACAGATGCATGTTGTGATTCATCTATATGATTAAAATTCAGTTTCAGCAGCTATTTTCATGTCTTAAAATTTTAGCCCATGATGAAATTTGGGCTCACGTAACACTAAAAAAAAAAAAAAAAAAAAAAATTCTACACTTGAAATATATGTTTGGGGAGTTTTAAAAAATGAATGTTTTGTGACATAAAGGAATAAGTAAACATTTAAACTTTCCCTCAAAAGGCTGATATGTCAACAGTAGATTCACAAAGTTACAAATAATTGGAATGTCTTTTTAATTTTTTTTTGGTTCGATTATAGTGACTTATAAAGAAAAAAAGTATCATTTTGCTATTCAGCTATTGACCCACTTCAAATGCTACATTCAACAGAAAAACAGTGTTTAAACAAATAGATGCATGGCTGTGGTCTGATTCCTCACCTTCTGGTCTTAGCTCAAGTGCCAGCGTCCAAATAAAGCCTTTGTAACTAGGGTATTCAAAATCACAACCATGAACCCTCCCTGCCCCCTGAAAAGCTCTCTGTCTCTCTCTGTTTCTCTTTTGCCCCATATTTCCTGTCTACCTGCCACCTTTCTTATTTTATTTTTTTCCCTCTAGCAGTTACCATCAAACTGACATATGGTGCATTTTATTTATTTGCTTACTGTTTGTTTGCTCCTTCCTCAGTAGAATGTAGGTTCCATAAAGAAAAGCAATTTTCAGTGTTTGCTTCATTTCTGTGAAGACATTCCAGTTCCAAGAGCAGTCTGGCTCATAGTAGGTACTCAATAAATATTTATTGAGTGAAAAGTGCGAGTAATTTATCCAATAAATGTAAAAAGGCGATTATTTGGGACCAGAGTTGTGAGTTCAGTTTTTAAAGTGACTTTGTTAATTTATTAATGAGAGATTAGTAAATTTAACCTCCACCAAGAGAAATTAAAATGAAGAGGAAACTTTTTAAAATTCTGGAATATCTAGAATTTATTCTAGCCTTTTTCACATTTCTTCTTGCTGTCTCTGATTTGATTGATTAATTTTACATTATACTGTTTAAGTTGTATCAGCTTTGTTGGGATGTACTATTGTTTATTACTTTTTACTATTATTTAATATGAAAACAATTACTTGTATTTTAAGAAGACCGAACTTGGTAAGGTTAGATTGTTTCTCCGTGGGTTCAGTTTTTACCAATTGTTATGCTACTGATACTTAATGAAAGTGTGTTTAATATACTTCACAATCATACCAAAACCCTACTTTTCAACATTTTTTCCTCTTTGAGCATATCTGCAGGATACACTCATCGTTTCATTTAGAAGAGGTGGTTCACCTGGTAGTGATTTTTCATCTCTAGAATGTGAAAAATTCCCCCAGGTGATTCTGATGTATCCTTTTAGGAAAATGCTGCCCAATTCCATGTCTGGACAGGATGTGTGCTCTCCTGTCTTTTCACTTAGTTCAGAATCACTGTTGTAAAAATAATAAACTTGTGTAATGGTTTTTATTTTTTGAAGATATTTGTATATGCATTTACTAACTTGAACTTTTTAAGAACTCTCTAAAGGAAGTAGAAAAACAAACCTTTGTCTTTGTATTTCATAGATGAGAGGCAATATTGTTTGCTGGGTAAGACCATGGGCTTTGGAGTTATATCCATTAGGAATACTATCAAGTGTAAGTCACAGAAAATCTGACTAGCACAATTTAAAAAACAGGGGAGTGCACATATCTCTTTGACCTACTGATTTCATTTCCTTTGGATATATACCTAGTTGTGGGATTGCTGGATCACATGATAGTTCTAGTTTTAATTTTTTGAGGAACCTTCATACTGTTTTCCATGACTGTACTAATTTACATTCCCACAACCAGCCTGTGCAAAGATTCCTTTTTCTCCATGTCTTCACTAACACTTATCTTTTGTTTTTTGTTAACAGCCATTGTAACAGGAGTGAGGTGATATCTCATTGTAGTTTCCATTTGCATTTCCCTGATGATTAGTGATATTGAGCATTTTTTCATATACAAGTCAATTTGTATATCTTCTTTTGAGAAATGTCTATTTAGATCTTTTGCCCATGTTAAAAATCAGGTTATTAGTTTTCTTGCTATTGTTAGAGGTCCTTACATGTTTTGGATATTAATCCCTGTTACATGTATAGCTTGCAAATATTTTCTTCCATCCTATAGGTTGTCACTTAACTGTGTTGATTGTTTCCTTTGCTGTGCAGAGCTTTTTAGTTTGATTTAATCCCATTTGTCTATTTTTTGTTTTATTGCATATAATTTTAAAGATCATTTCCCAAAAAATCATTGCCAAGAACAGTGGCATGGAGTTCCCCCCATGCTTTCTTCTAGTAGTTTCAGAGTTGTGATATCTACACTCCTATGTTTATCACAGCACTGTTCACAATATGCCAAGATACATAATCAGCCTAAGTGTCCATCAATGGATGGATGGATGAAGGAAATATGGTATATGTACACAATAAATATTTTTCAGTCATAAAAAAGAACAAAATTTTGTCATTTACGACAACATGGATGAATCTGTAGGACATTGTGTTAAATGAAATAAGCCAGGCATAGAAAAACAAATATTGCATCTCACTTATATGTAGAATCTAAAAAAGTAATCTCATAGTAGAGAACAGATTGGTGGCTACCAGAGGCTGGAGTGGAAACGGGAGAGAGAACAATGGGGAGATGTTGGTCAGAGAATATATAATTACAGTTAGATAGGAGAAATAAGTTCTAGATCTCTATTGTACAACATGGTGACTATAGTTAATAAATACATACTCTTGAAAAATGCAGAGTGGATTTTAAATGTTCCCACCATGAAAATGATACCTATGTGAGGTATTACATTTGTTAATTAGCTAGATTTAACAATTTTACAATGTATGTATACTTGAAAACATGTTGTACATGATAAATACATGCAATTTCATCTGTCAATTAAAAAATAGAGAACTTTTTTCTCACATCACAGGAAGTCTAGAAGTAGGTGTTTACTGTTACTAGTTTAGTGGCTCAACTTTTCTGTAATTTCTCTGCCACTCCGTCATTGTCATAAGATTGCAGCCTAGATCTAGGATTTGTAGTAACATTCAAGTCAGAAGGATGGGATAGCTTATATATATATATGTGTAACTCAGTTATATATATGCCTCCAAAGGCATGTATGTAGACATATAGATATAGGTATATAGATAGATCTCTATACACACCTTAAAAGGCTTTTCCTTTTTAAAAACATATTTAATATTTATATATTTCAAAGAAGGGAAAATCTTCTAAAGAAGCTCCAAACAGGTTTCTGCTAATGTTCCAATAGCTGGAAATGGGTCATGTGATCACACGTAGCTGAAATAAGTCAAGCGACAAGGGAGTTAGGAAGGAGTGGGTATTGTGTTAACCAGTTAATAGTGTGTGCCATAGAAGTCAAATAAATTTGGATTCAGGTTCTAGTTCTATCAGTTGCTCACTATGTGGCTTGCATGTCAGGGCTTTCATCTGTAAAATGGGGACAATGATATTGTTACCTAATAGAGATGTAGGGCAGTCTAGTGAGAAGTGTTAAAGTACTTAGGACCTTGCGTCACACTTAGTCCCCCGCAAAATATGTCAGCTATTATTCTGATCACCATTATCTTGGCAGAAAGCAATTGGATTATACCACAGGAAAAGATTATTTACTAACCTAACTCTTTCAACTACCGATTTCATCATTTTATCCTGCTTCTTACTATAGCCTTGAGCATGTAACTCCTCTTCTTTGATCACCATTAGTATATTCCAATGACTGAGCTCTCTGCGCCTTTCTGCAGCCTGTTTTCCTCTCCTTTCATTTACACATTCTTTTTTTTTTTAATTATTATTATTATTATACTTTAAGTTGTAGGGTACATGTGCATAACATGCAGGTTTGTTACATATGTATACTTGTGCCATGTTGGTGTGCTGCACCCATCAACTCGTCAGCACCCATCAACTCGTCATTTACATCAGGTATAACTCCCAATGCAATCCCTCCCCCCCCTTCCCCCCTCCCCATGATAGGCCCCGGTATGTGATGTTCCCCTTCCCGAGTCCAAGTGATCTCATTGTTCAGTTCCCACCTATGAGTGAGAACATGCGGTGTTTGGTTTTCTGTTCTTGTGATAGTTTGCTGAGAATGATGGTTTCCAGCTGCATCCATGTCCCTACAAAGGACACAAACTCATCCTTTTTTATGGCTGCATAGTATTCCATGGTGTATATGTGCCACATTTTCTTAATCCAGTCTGTCACTGATGGACATTTGAGTTGATTCCAAGTCTTTGTTATTGTGAATAGTGCCGCAATAAACATACGTGTGCATGTGTCTTTATAGCAGCATGATTTATAATCCTTTGGGTATATACCCAGTAATGGGATGGCTGGGTCATATGGTACCTCTAGTTCTAGATCCTTGAGGAATCGCCATACTATTTACACATTCTTAAAAAGTCATCTATAGTTGCTTCTATATACTCACTTTCCATTTATCCTTGAGTTTTGCTGCCATCTGACTTTTGAGTCTGTCATTTTGCTGAGACTGTTTTT